CGCGCTCCACTCAAGAACCCTAAAGTTCGCAATTTTTGGTTCGTCTTGGCGGGAGAGCCCTTGGCGATCGGTGCGAGCGCGAGCTGACCTACATTCTTCTTCTATCGCTCCCTAAGGTAGAATATCGATCGATTTCGATGGGAAATGGGGGCGAGCAGGAGCCGGTCATCCACGACGCCGATTATGTGGAGGCGTTTGAAAGCTTCCTAGAGGAGAATCACTTGTCGGAGCTGGAGAGGATCTTGCTCCTCGAGGACGAATCCAAGCACTACTCAGTCCATGTCGAGTTCAGTGGTTTGCGACATCGTGTTTGAGCTCATTCTCATTTTTCTTCCCCTTTGTTACTCAGCTTTGCGGAACTTCTGGAAGCCCATCCCAAGCTTTCTCATGAGCTCTACTTTCAACCAGGAAAGGTTTTGCCTCTATTCGACGCAGCAGCATTGGCAGTATTGGTAAAGCCTGTGACAGATACTTAGCGATCACACGGCTAACAGCTTCCACTTTGCAGCAAAAACTGGACAAAGGCAACAAAGTGATGAAGCGCGTTCATGTACGCTTGGTGGTACAGGGTTCCGCTTTGGAACGTCCAGGTACTGCAAGATCTCTAAAGCTGATTGCTACTGGAGAAATCTAACTTTGTTTTTCCGCAGAAGTAAATCCAAGCATTGGACGCATCAGAGTGAAGCATCTTGGAAAACTTGTAACTCTGAAAGGAACAATAATCCGTTCAGGTGGCGTCAAGATTCTTGAGGGAGAGCGCGAGTACGAGTGCACAAAGTGCAAGCGCAGGTTTTTGTCGACCTTCTAGAGGGCCGTGACTTATGATCTTGTTGTTTTCAGTTTTAAGTTGTTCCCGGAGCTGGAAACTGGCAGCGGCGTTGAGCTGCCACGGAGGTGCCCCTCTCAGGTGAATGGTCAGACCTTCGATTCATAATCGCTTACATGTAAGTCACAGAGAACAAAGCCATGTACTGGTTCAACCTTCCGTTGCATAGAGGACTCGAAAGTTTCCCATGACTATCAGGAGATCAAAATGCAAGAGAATCTGCAAACTCTTGGTGTCGGCTCTGTTCCACGGTCTATTGTTGCTATTTTACAGGATGATCTCGTAGACACTGTCCAGGCCGGAGGTATGGACACAGTCATATACCATCATATTAAGTTTTTCATGCAGATGACGTTGTTGCAACTGGGGAACTTTTCTCCCGATGGCGGCGAAGCTGTAAAGATGCCCGTTGCGATATTGAAATAATGCTCAGGGTCAACTATGTGCGGTACGAAGCTGCTTTTGCTACCTCAACCCTCTTAGAGCTTATTGCCGGCAGGAAAGCAAATGACTTGAAGGCGGCAGTCGACGTACCTGACGATGTTATCCACCAATTTGAGCAATTCTGGAAGGAATTCGAGAGAGCGCCATTCAAAGGTTTGAATATCTTCCAGCGACTTCCTCAGTACTTTGGTTTTTGTAGGAAGAAATGCCATACTACAGAGCATATGTCCTCAGGTGTATGGGCTCTTCACCGTAAAGCTAGCGGGTATCTATGTCCATTTTTACTTACGAAGAAAACTTTGTAAATGTTCTTCTTCGGCAGTTGCCTTGACGTTGGTTGGTGGAGTTCAGCGTGTAGATTCTTCTGGAACTCGTATACGAGGAGAATCACACTTGCTTCTTGTTGGAGACCCGGGTACGTTGAGTTCATGAGTTTCTTTTTTCTGCTGACAGTCTTCTAATATTTTAGGCACTGGGAAGTCTCAGTTTCTAAAATATGCAGCTAGATTGAGTCATCGCTCGGTTGTGACAACCGGTCTAGGAAGCACCAGTGCAGGGCTTACGGTAACAGCAGTTAAAGATGGAGGTGATTTTTCTTGCTAAGAGCAATATGATACTCACGTTTCTCAAACAGGAGAATGGATGCTCGAAGCTGGGGCACTGGTTTTAGCGGATGGTGGACTATGTTGCATTGACGAATTTGACAGGTTTGATCTTGGCGTGCGTATTTACGAGTGCCGAAATTTCAATCAGCAGCATTCGAGAAGCAGACAGAGCCACAATTCATGAAGCTATGGAACAACAGACACTCAGTGTTGCAAAGGTCAGAGAGTGATTATTTCCATCGAAGAAGTGTTAATGAGTTGCATATAGGCTGGGCTCGTGACAACGCTTAACACAAGGACGACTGTTTTCGGTGTAACCAATCCTAAGGGCCAATATGACCCTCAGCAGCGTATGTTTTTCTCTAGACTATGAAACTAACGCTTATGGACAGTCCATTTTCAGCTCTTTCCGTGAACACCACCTTGTCTGGGCCACTTTTGAGTCGTTTTGACATCGTGTTGGTGCTTCTTGATACTAAAAACCCAGAGTGGGACACCATTGTCTCTTCTCACATTTTATCCGAGGTTTGTGGCGCTTAGATTCTTTTTCTTTAGCCTAGGCCGTGAGTAATCCGTGTCCACAGCATATGAAGCAAAAATCGGTGAACTGTGTCAGCAATCTCACGGGTTTTTGGACACTGGCAATGCTGAGGAGGTAATACATTTCCTGTTGGTCTGCTGAAACAAATTCATTAGCAGGTACATTCTTTATGTGAGGGACCACATTCGTCCTGTTCTTACGGCCGAAGCCGAGAAGATCATCATCAGTTACTATCAGCTCCAGCGGAGAGCAGGCGCTCAGAATGCAGGTGCTGTTACCTTCATCTTCAGAGGAAGCATGCTCAGGCTATGATTTTGTTGCTAGCAAGGACGACCATAAGGATGTTGGAAAGCCTGATAAGGCTCGCACAAGGTAAATACCAAGTTGATCAGGGATGATGAAGGATGCGATAACGGTGTTGCAGCGCATGCGAAGCTTATGTACCGGCGACAGGTTACCAGAGCAGATGCTATTGCGGCGATTGTGTGCGTGGAATCGTCGATGACAACGTCTGCTATTCTGGACGACGTTGGGAACGCACTGCATTCAACGTTCTCGGAGAAGCCGGACGCAGAGTGTAAGCAAGCGTGTCTGTTTGCGGCTGTTTTTGGTTGTAAAGAGCTTTTCAGACACGGAGCTAGAGCGCAAGATACTGGTTGCACTTGGTCTGAATCGGCAGGATCCCTCCAACAGAGGGCCCGTCATGCAACGCTGCTCCAGCTTGGTGAATCAAGTGGATACGGAAGCTGGGATTATATTCCCTACCCAGGGTCATCAAGGTCCTCAATAAACTATTGTGGGTCGACTTTTAAGTTACAGTACTGTGAGAGTTTTTTTCTATCAATTACAACAAATAAATAAGATGGGTTCTAATCAATTAGAATTTTTTTGGTTTTTCGCTTTTCTTCCTTTGTTTTTTCTTGGATAACATTTGAATAATTTATTTTCTGATATCAGTAGATAATTTTAACAATTTTGTCAAAATTTACATAAGGTAATTTTACTAATTAGCTAATAAATTTTCTGTATATTTGTCAATTTTTAGATAAACATATTAAATTGAGAATAAATTTATGCTTTTAACGTATGAGATATAGAAAAAAATATTTCTCTCTGTACAAATAAATTGTGTTTAAAAATTTATATTCAATAACTTTTTTCCTTAAAATATATATAATTATTTATAAGTTTTATTCAGTAATATAAATCTCTTGTACTTGTTTGAAATATTACACATATAGTTTGTGTTTTATTAAATAATGTTTAAAAGGTTTTTTAATAAGAAAAATAAAAATAAAAGTATAAAATTTAAATGATAAAATTCATATGAGATAAAGTTATTTTATTTTTACACATTTATAGTTTTAGTAACTTAAGTAATAAAATACTATAAATAAGTAAATAAGTAAACAAAGTTCTATAACAAAAGATATAGATTATGTGTGGCTAATTATTTTCTCAACTAGCATTTTTATAAAAATAATATAGTTAATTTTTAATTATAATTATAAGTATCAGTTTAACAAATAATTTAATCAAGGTTAGAATAAAAGATTAGATATCTATGTATTTATAATATTATAGAGTTTATATTATTTAAATAATTTATTCTAAAATCATAAATTTCACTTAACAATGCCACTGTTAAAAGATCATCTATATAGTTATTTTTGAGTTAAAAAACTAAATAAATATATAAATTAAATTAAATTTTTACATAAATTAATTAATTTTATTTTATCACTTTTTGAAATTCAAATGACCAAATAAATAAAAAATAGTAAACAATAAAAAGGATAAAATTCTGAATTAAAAATATTTATTTTCAATCAATTAAGGGTATTTAAAAAGTGGAATTGAAGTGTTTATAAGATTACTTAATTTTCTAGGAAGTCTAAATTAATAAACATTTGCATCACATCTGGTGCAAATTCAACAACTCTCTTTAATAAATAAATTTTGAGCTTTTTTAATTATAATTATAGTTATATCTAAAATGTTCTTAAATATTTTGAGATATTCTACCATCAAATAGTTGTTATTCACTTTGATTAATCTTGTTTTTATAATTTATAAACTTTCCTAAACTCTTCTTAATATATTTTAGTTTATTCTACCAATAAGATTAATCTTATAGTATATTTATAATATTATTTTTTATTGATCAATTGAATCAATAAAAAATACTGAATAACTGAAAATAAATGAAGCATGGAAGGCAACATGAGGCACTAGCGGATATAAGACTGGAGCAGGGGAGGAAATAGCACAGCAGGGAATCCTTTAGAGTTGGGTCCATAATCGAGCTAATCCAAAAATGCAAGTACGTGAAGAAGAGGAAACCAAAAACTTGTGGATCTTGCCAGTACCTGCCAAACATTCTTCTTTAAAGAAAAGTTCATCCAGGATAGCTATGGATCCCAAAAGCTTGGAACTTGTGTGTGGAAGTGGAAAGAAGATATATAGCATGCTTTGATCAATGGGCATGGCTGTGGCAAGAAGTGAGCTATGGCACGCTAGTCATTCTTGTGTCTATCCTGAGTATGGGAGCAACGCAGGTCCATTCCTTTTGGAGTTGTGGATGATGATAGGAGCAGGCTGAAAGGTGATCTATCCAAGCTTTGCCTCGTCTATAATCTCGCAGGATTCTAGAGATAAAAAGGGGCTTTCTAAAATTTTGTCACTCTCATTTTTTAACTGTTCTTCTTTTGCAACAGTTACTGTGATAACTTGGCCAGTGAAATAGGTTCAAACACACTTTGAGTTGATAGAGCTCAAGCTGGTATAAACCTGTCCACTTAATGACCTCTCCAGCCCTTGCACAATATTAAACATTTTTTTGCTGTGTGCTTTCAAGAATCTCTAATGAACTCATTGTGTCTCTCAATGATTCTCTTGCAAGTATCATACATTGATGAACTCCTTTCTCAAAGCTTCTCATTTGCCACCTTTGCTACATAACATAGTAGGCATCCAGCCCCTATCACGTAGCGACGATCTTACATGAATGAATAGCTGCGTGAAGGGTTTTAGTTTAGCAAGTTCCTCACTAGAATGGGAAAGGGAGTCCACTTTCCAGTTTTTTCTACACACTCAACAAACTGCTTTGCAGAAAAATAAATCAATCATTCCACTAATGTCTTGGGCGCTCGCATTCAACAATGGGATCGACAACACATGCTTGATGTGGTGTGATTTGGTAAGAAGTAGCCAATATGAAAACATTTTAGATTTAAAATAGGTTATGGATGATGCTGTATAATATCTGCCAAAAGATTTAATTAAAATTTTGAACCATAGAATATGCGTAAAAAATTATTTTATCTTATTTTTCTAATTTGGTCAAACCTTTCAAGTAATAGGAAAAAAGAATGAGAAAAATGCTTATAGAGTTGTCTCGTTTTTAGTTTACTCTCCTCGTCTTCCTCTTCCTCTTGCTATCGGGCGTCCTGAGCATCTGGCTCTGGACGTTATACTTCTCGCGCTGGAACGCCTGGAACGCATCGCACGCCGCCTCCAGATGCTCATACTTCTTCACGTACACCCGGACGATCCTCTGCGGCACGTCGTGCCCAGCATAACTCCTCCCCACCTCCTCCGCCTTGAGCTCCAGCTTCTCCGTGCTGCCATAGCCTTTGAAGAAGTGCACGCCCTCCAGGAGATCGCTCTTCCCGCAAGCATCGTCAATCTTGACGTTGCTCACCACGATGTCGTCCCTCTGGAGAACGCCACCCTTGGCGTAGCAGAGGATGTCCTCGGCCGTCACAGCACTAAACCTCTCGGCGTGCTCCGCCGGGACCTTGAGGCTGTCGCAAAACTGGTACAGCTCCCGCCCCCGCCGCCGCATCCTCCACACCAGCTTCCTCGACGCCTCCAGCTCCGGCTCGTCCGACGTCTCGATCGCCTTGAGTAACGAGTCGTCCAGCTTCCAGAAGCTGGCCGGGTCGTCCACCATCCCGGAGATGCCCAGGAAGCCGTCCGCCATCACCAGCGCGTCCGCCAGCATCAGCTCCATGGCCTTCACCTTGGGGTGCGTGTAAACCTCCCGGAAGAGGTTCCCCCTCGTCACAAACAGCTCGCAGATGGTGGCGGCGACGTTGGAGCGGAAGCAAATCTCGTTGTCGATCACCCGCATGCTGTCCATGAGCCGGCAAACCTTGAAAGTCCCGGGCTCCAGGCCGCAGGCGCGGGTGTCGCGGAGGATATAGTCGAACTTGTCCACGTCGATGCCGTTGCGCCCGTTGGCGACGATGTCGTAGAGGAAGGCCTTGTCGCCCTGCGGCGCGCCGCGCTCCGAGCTGCACAGGATCATGTCCTTGACGCGCTTGAGCACCCCGGCGTCCACGTCGATGTAGTTCCTGTCCACGATGAAGTCCACCATCTTTCCGGACATGGCCTCGTGGTGCCACTTGAGCAGGCCGGCGCCGATCCTGGGCAGGAACTCGTTCTCGAAGACGTGGCTGAAGGGGCCGTGGCCGACGTCGTGGAGAAGACCCGCCAGCCCCACGGACGTGAGGTCCGACTGCTCCAGCTCCAGCTCGGGCCAGCAGCTGTCCAGGTTGAAGACGGTGGCGCGCGCGAAGTTGTAGACGCCGAGCGAGTGCTCGAGCCGCGAGTGGGTCGCGCCGGGGTAGACGAGGTTGCACAGGCCCAGCTGCTTCACATCGCGCAGGCGCTGGAACTCCACCGTGTCGATGAAGTCCTGCGCGAGCGGGTCGATGTGGATGTTGTCATGGACGTTGTCGAGGACGTCTTTCTCGTCGGACCTGTTGCGGCGGAGCGGCATGGCGCTGTCGAGCAGCAAGAGAAGAACCCTAACTGTGTGGAGCCATCGTCGTCGCTGCTCTAAGAATAGCTGACACGGAGCCGGATATGGTTGAGGAAAGAAAGGAACTTTACTTCTTATTTCTTGCGAGCAATGCTGTTGGATAACGAGAGCGCTTTCGAGACGGACAGAAGCTGGACCAAAATCCCTGAAACACAGGAAAGAAAGATTTTTTCAGTCAGTCGATACGGAGGAACGACAGGGGCGAAAGAATAAACAAACAGACCAATGGCTTCTTGGACGGCTTCGAGGCTAACGAGGATGACTTTGTTCCTGTTTTCCTTGCTGCTCTTCTGCCACTCGTCCGACCACTGCTAGCGGACAAGAAGGATTTTTCACGTCGAGCTTGGTATCAGGCAAATCTAATGAAATCCAAACCTCTGCGAAGAAACGGCCAGAGATGATCGGGAGCAGCGAGAGCGAGATGGAAGTCCCCGTGAGGAGCAAGTAGAGCTTGAGCAAATGGGGCGAAGCACCAGTTTTCAGAGCTACCAAAGCAACCACGATCAAAACAAGAAAAAAAAAAAGAGAAAGAAGTCCGAAGAGAAGTTCTTACCGAGCGTTCCAACGAGGACAGAAGCTCCCCCAAAGATACACGCACACACGGTGGTCATTTCAAGCGGCTCGCCATTGAGAGTCATGAGAGTCGACCATAGAGCCTTGAACAACACAAACGCTGTCTGGATCAACGAAAAATACATTAGAAGAAACCAGAGAAATCTCTCTCGAGAAAGAACAATGGAGCTTCTTTTTAACCTGGATCGCCACAAATCTCCGCAAATGCATACGAGCATGCGCAGCTCTCCGGTATTCTACAGTGAAAAATCGATCGATCGATGAGATTGCGCCATGAGATCGAAGCAAGAAAGAGATCCAGCGCTCGCTGCTGCTACTTACTGTCGTCCACGGTCATGCGGTAGGAGAAATCCGATCCATCGGTGCCGACCGGCCGCACTGCCGAGCCACCACGCCTCATCGAGATCCGGCTCCCTAAAGTGGATAAACAAATCTAGGGTTTATGCCAGAATGGGCACTATCATCGCTCTCACGCCCAGCGGATTTCTCTGCCGGGACACGAAGCGGGATCCCTGTGTGTGTCCGATGTCTGTGCATTCTCCTCATCACGCCGCGCAATCCGTGAGACTTTCACGCCGAGGATTTGGAGTCCAGCTCGTGTTGTTGCCGAGTCCCTGGATGCAAATGCCAATGCCAGCAGCTGCGTTGGAGCAAGAAGAGCTAAACATCCCAAGTAAGTAGAGTAGCTAGTCTTCTTCTGGCATTCTAGAAGGAAAAAAACGAGGAAACAATGAAAACTCTACTGGTTTGGCAGAGAAGAACGATCCAAATTCTTGGGACGAGTACCAAGGGGATGGATTTGGCGTGAAAATTCCTCCAGGTTTCGAAGATACTCTGGAACCCGATGTAAGTTTGGAGTTTGCTAGAAAAAGAATTCTAGTTCTAACATGCTGCTGTGTGGCTACGAGAATGGCAGGAGTTTCCTATAGGAGAAGTTCCTTTGTATGGCAATCGTGCAAAGCCCAAGGTTTTTGCAGCGCGTTTTGCTTCTCGTGACGGGTTTGTTCGCTACTTCTTTCTTGGAAATTTTTCGTTTCTTAGTTTTTCTCTTCATTCCTGTTTGGTTCTCAATCAGGGAGGAGTTTGTGAGCGTGGTAATTCGTCGGGCTTCGCAGCTCAAGGCTACATTTTTCGAGGTAACGAGTACTGGCGTTTTGTGTTACCACTGCTGCTAAGGTGTGATAGCAATAGTTCCTTTTGCTGTAGGCTAAGAGCATCAAGGACCTTGGGAAAGTTGACGACATTGCGAAGCTATTTCTTCCTGGTCGGTCACTGCAAGTTTCTCTGTTTGTTTCTCCGCTTTGTTGATCGTTTGTCATTTCTTTTGTTTGTTTACAGTCGGTGCAAGGCTCACTGCCGCCTCGTCCGTGACCTCCGAAGCTCAAAGGTTTTGTATTGCATCGTGGATATTGTTTTTTTTTTTTTTTTTGTAAGACTGACTGGTGCCACTGCAGAGTATACTATCTGTACGAGTACTTGGCAGGAAGCAAGCACGTAGTCGTGTCCGCTGCAGCCCAGAGCGGTCGGGTAAGGTTTTGAATCGAAGTGTTGGTCGCTCTCAATGGAATCTGTCCAGATTTTTGTTGCTGCCGCTACTGCTCCTCAGTCGAGGTGGAAAAAAGATGGTCGTTTGCTGAGCTCTGCTGCTGCGTCATTCTATCTTTTGTGAGGGAGTACTCGTGACTTTCCTCAGTTTTTAGTCTCCACTTGAATCTGGATACTAATTTCTGCTCAACTTTAGTGCATCACTAGGATTGACCGAACTGCATTCAGGTATGACAGACATCTCACAATCAACATAATGAGTTGTTTTGTATTTTCCTTCTTGGCAGTCTCAAAATCTCCAAAACCTTCTCGTCCTTGCTCGCGCATTGCTCGCTTGAGCTGCCTTCGCTCTCGCTCTCCGTTCAGCAGCAGCTCTTCTCACGAGGTACTTACGTTGAAAGTATATGATCCAGGTCACAACCTCCATTACCAGGCTCACAGCTCCCAGAGAAATCACCACTGCGATGAAAGCCGTCTTAAACTTCGCTGCCGGCTCGAGGATGCTGAGGCCGATGAAAACGTTCACCACACCGAGCACAAGCGTCGCATAGCCGATCGATTGGTGGTATATGTTCCACAAGAAGCGGATCTTTTCGTATGGCTTGGGCCTCACCAGCAAAGCTATGACTTGCAGCGTTCCTCCGGCAAAGATGGCGTATCCAATGTTCCGGTGCGTTTCGTAGACGTTCCCGGACCCCGATTCGAGCTTTAGTCCGAGAACCCAGCCAGCCACCCCGACTCCGTAGGCCGGGATCTGGATCATCAGGTGGAGATAAAACCAAGCTCCGCTAGGTGACGTGAACGGGCGAAGATACCGAGCTGCCATCACTCCGACCGGGATGGCGATCCCCCAGGCAGCTCCACTCAGCAGCGCATGGGTGTTCTTGAGCCTCTGCCTCGGAGTGAGCTTGGAAACCAGGGGCTGGGCCACGGAGTCCTTCTTCGACATATCGATCCTCCTGAGCGACACCAAGTTGGCCTTTTTGAAGTCGTGGGACTGCGGAGAATCGCCGAGAACCTGGTCGCCAAAGTTCCAGACGTGGTTCATCGTGGTGCTGCTGCTGTTGGTCAGGGGGATGGTTGCAAAGATGGTGACGATGGTTCCCTCCATGATCACGGACTGGTTCTGGAATGGAACTTCGGTCTGTTCTTGGGGGCTGAGAGAGATATCGTCGTCCTTGACTTGCCTGGAGACCGAGTAGCTGTGGAGCTGTGCTCCTTGCGAGCTCTGGAAGGCGATGAGAGCGCTGGTACCGGACATCTCCAACGAGTGGGGATTTATCCCCCAGCCCAGCCAGCCAGTCCGAGCTGGAAGGGCCCCGGTTACCGCCACCTCGAGCACGCTCTTCCTCGATGGATCATCGTCCCCGTGGAGTGTCCAAGCGATGGTTACTCGCTCGTCCAGACCGTGGCATACCTCAAAGTTCTTGAGAGCTGAACAAGGATCGCCCGCCGCTGCTGCTACTGCTACTGGGAAAACTATCAGGAAGAACACCAGCAAAATTCGATCGACCTCCTCCATGCTCGAGAGGAGTTCCACTTCGTGCTTGCTCGATAGATGGGGAGGGAGAGAGAGAAAGAGAGAGTGAAAGATTTATCTTTTCAAGTCTGGAATTCGCGTCGTTTAGTTTGCTACAGAGATCTTGGAACGTCTGTGAACCAATTCTTGCTCGTCGAGTTTGTCCCAAACAAAACCAAAGAGGTTTTTCTCTTCTAGAAAATACCACCAGCCCGGGATATAAAGTTAAGCAAAGCGCAATCGTGTTACACTAATCTATAGTTGTCCACGCGGCACACTGTATGGGCAGCCGTTAGATCCAGCAATCCGAGGGCTCCGGCTGCGCAGAATCGCCGCCGCCCGTCCGGGCATCGGGCGGGCATCGGGCGGCCCACATTCGTTAAGGGCTCGTGTGACGTGTTTGGTTTTCTTCTCTCCTTTTCTGTGAAACCCTAGAGTTAGGGTCCGTGCGGCAATTGGAGGGCAGCGGCGATGTCGGACGAGGAGCATCACTTCGACAACAAGGCGGACGCCGGCGCCTCCAAGACCTATCCCCAGCAGGCCGGGACGATCCGCAAGAACGCCTACATCGTGATCAAGCAGCGCCCCTGCAAGGTAACTCCTCCGATCCGCCGCTCGCCAGATCTCGATCCGCCGCCTAGGGCTCTGGAGCGCGATCAGCTCGGCTGGATATTTTGTTTTGCTTACGCGCGGCCGCATTTAATTTCCCGCTAATGCCCGGCTACTCGCAGGTTGTTGAGGTGTCTACTTCCAAGACTGGCAAGCACGGCCATGCGAAGTGCCACTTCGTGGGCATCGACATCTTCACCGGGAAAAAGCTCGAGGATATTGTCCCATCTTCCCACAATTGCGATGTGAGTTTCTCTAGTTCTTTTGCTCCCTTTTCAACGCATTTTGATCCTCGCGGTCTCTCCTCTGCTTTCCCAGGTTCCGGAAGTCACTCGCACCGACTACCAGCTGATTGACATCTCGGAAGACGGATTTGTATGACCAAAGCTCCCACTTTTATGATTCATGCCTTGCCTTTTTCTTATCTTTTCGTCATTGTGTGATCAGGTGAGTCTCCTCACCGAGAATGGTGACACCAAGGACGACCTCCGCCTTCCAACTGATGATCAGCTCAACGCCCAGGTGAGCGTCACGAATCACTTTTGCGAAAGAACGCCTTCGTGTGTGTATCTAAAGGGCTTTGCCACCGCAGATTTCTACTGGCTTCCATGACGGCAAGGATCTCGTTGTGACAGTCATGTCCGCTCTTGGGGAGGAGCAGATTTGCGCCCTCAAGGACATCGGGCCCAAGTAGAAGCGCTCCAACGCAAGCACGAAGCCGAGGACCACTGGTTTTGTACCTCCTTAAAAGTCATTTTACTCTATAGTTCGTTCGTTTTTCCTTGCAACTCTGTTGTAACCAGTGGGGAACGTTTTTTTCCAAAGTAGGGGAGTTTGGGTCGGCTACTATTTGTATGCTTTGACGACCTGGAAAAATTCTATTTATTCATTGCCAGCTTCTTATCTCTTCCAGTGTGTGCGTGTGCTTTTGTGCCTTTTGGCCGAACGAGAGAGGCTGCCTTCTCTCTGGACCCGTGTCAAAGCCTTAAAAAAATGGTTGGTTTTTTTCTTCCTTTCTACTCGTTTCGTTGAGCTAACGTTCATGCTTATATTGACTTCGCTGTTTACAGGGTGGATCTCTACAGGACAATGGGTTTGACTGGCTCGCTGGGAGCGCTCGTAGTGCTAAGCTGCAACGATAAATCGGTGCCAGCGAATGTTGGGGCCCTGTAGTGGTGCTGCTGTTGGTGTTGCTGCTGCTGCTGCTGCTGCTGCTGCTGCTGGTGATGATGATGATACTGCTGCTGTTGCTGCTCCGACGAGGTGGAAAGTGAGAGTGGAGCTGACAAAGTCATCTGCGAAAATGGTGGCTGATGAGGCTGCTGCTGGCCTTGCTTTCCTGTGAGGATGGAAGTTATGGCTGCGGCGAGAGCAGCGGTGAAGTTTGGATCGGAGGTCAACGCTGCAGTGGCGGCACTGACTGAAGTGTCCACGTTTTGGCTCCCGGGAAAGCGTTGCTGCTGGTGATGCTGTTGCTGCTCCAGCCCTCCGAACTGCTGGCCGAGGAAGAACGGTGCTTGGAGCATGGCTCCTGGGAGTGACAGGAGCGGGGTGGAGGCGGCGTTGCTGGCGGCAGTGCCTCCTCCGAGACGGAGGCTGAGCTGAGTAGCGGGGTTGGGATTGTTGGTCATGTCGAGCGTGATGGTTGGGAAGGGCGTGGAGGCGGAGATTGTTGGTCCCAGGTGACCGGCCATGTAGCTCGCGGCGGCCGCGGCAGCGTTGAAGCCGTGGGGGTCGCTCATGGTGGAGCCCGAGAGGAGCATGCTTGCCGCCGCCGAGGTTGTCGAGGCCAGCGCCGCGGCCGCCGGCGGGAGAGGATGGTTGTGAGTTCCTTCGTACGTGGTGACGAGTATGGATGTGTCTTCCGCACACCTCTGGACCTGGAAGTTGTCAAAGTTACACGCAAGGTGAGATTTTTCTTCTTCTCGAGACTTTAGCTTTCTAGACGTACCTGTTTTCGAACTGGACAGCCGGGTGACATGGTGCAGCGGTAGTAAGCGCGCGGGCATGGATTTCCTTTGGCCATCTTCTGGCCGTATTTTCTCCATTGGCAGCCATCGTTCATCTGTGCAAAGGCGGGTTAAACTTTTTAACTTCGCTACAAACGTGAATCGTGGAAGTTTTATGACTTACAGTGGGATTCTCTGACCGCGTTCGAACTGAGACTCGAGCTTTGCGGACCATGGGATCCGTCACTGTGTTATTGCCGGCAGCGGTGGTCGTGCTTGAGTTCTCATGGAGGGTCTTGAGAACTTTGCTCGGGGGCCAGTCCACTCGCTCGGCAGACTCTTTCTCTTCCGATTTGGAGGCCGGGGAATTGTGCCGGGGAGGAGAATTTGGATGCAGCCCGGTCACTCCATCCTTCTTATCCTGCTCATCGAGCATCTCGGAGGCTTTCCTTTTCCCAGTCAAGTCGGGCTTTGCTTCCTGCCAGTACGATCGAGATGAGATAAACAAACAAAAAATAACTTTTTGGGAGAAAGATCTGTCATACCTGTTGCTGGAGAAGCGCCATGGTCTGCACCTGGAGGCTTTGGTACTCCGCAGTGACGTGATTCAGCATCAACTTGAGCTGCTCGTTCTCATCGTTTCGCAACTTGAGCTGCTCCTTGAGGACCTCGAGATGATCCCTGTCACTGTGAGTGGAGGAATTCTTTGGGGATGATGCGGGAGAAGTGTCCTCGACGGTTGACTTGTCACTCACAACTTTCTTGCTCTGCAAGAGAAGAAACGAGCTCAGAACAGGCAAAACTAGAATGGATCGAGATCGAGAAAAACGCACCTTGAGGAGCCACTGAGCCGAGACCCGGCCATCATCGCCACTCCTTCTCAACTTCTGGATGCTGGGCTTCAACTCCGTGTGCTTCATGCGATCGATCCAGCTCTGGAACAGGCTCCCGGCAACGTCCACCCCCCTCTTCTGGTGAGGACTGTCACACTCTTGCTCTCTCGCTACCTTGACGTGCTCGTGGTTCCCAGAAGTCGTGATCGTGGTTGCAGTGGTGGTCTCCTCCTTCTCCAAAGGTACCGCCACGCTCTCTTCCTTGTCAGTGCTCTCATCCTCCTCCTCGTCTTGCTCTTCCAGCTTCACCGACAGATCGATGTTCTTGAGAGACCCCATTTGCTGGTGCTTGGATTGCTCGTGATCCACCGCAGGAAGCATTTCTCTTCTAAAGACGGTATCAAAGCCTCGCAATCTACTCCTCTATCCTATATATTCACGTGCTCGTCTTGCAGTACACGGAAGACAATACATACACCGTTAAGCAAGGACAGCGGAGAGCTCAGCACTTCTAGCCAGCGAATTGCCACTTGGGAGAAGCGCAAGGTCTTCCTTTCCCCTCTTCTTTAAAGGCGCGAGACGGAGAAGACGTGTTGCCGAGGAAGCCGGGAAGAAAAAAGAGAACCCCGCCGCAATTTTAATAAAAAGGGAGCCAGGAAAGAATGAGATGAGCGGTGATGTCACTGGAGAAAAGATCACCGCCCTCCACCGTAAGTTTCTATATATCTCTCGTCGCTCCGCTCGGATTGATCGCTATTGATCGCTGGTTTTGAGTACTGCAGTGAAGATTCAACCACATATATATATCCTCGCTGGGGATCGCCAGAGACGATCGCTACGATTTCGATGACTTGTACGCGTACTCGAGCTTTGACCTTTGAGCTGGTAACGAGCGAGTTTCTTTGGCTTGCTTCCTTCCAAGCTTCCTCATTTCCCCACGTTTGCAAGGCTTGCAGGGTCCGAGAGCTGCGGCTATGGTCTTCGTTTCAAATGTGGCGAGAGACAAGCAAGCTACACCATGACCCGCGAGACCATCCGGGTACTTTCTCTGGGAAGAGCTCGGAAGAGAGACGACCGACGTGGCGGGGGGACTTCCCGGGTGACGTGCGCGGCCATGCTGGACCGCGTCGGAACCACGTGGCTGGATCTTCGCCCGCCGCTTTGCCGACGTGTCTGACATCGTCGCCGTGAGAAAGTTTCAAACTCCGGTCGTGTGGAAGTCGCGGGTGCTGCTTCCGCGAAAGATTGCAACCCATGTTCTTTCGAACTTCCTCAAAGGTCTTGGCCTGGCCAAATTTCTTTCGTCCTCCATCTTTGTCCTCTTGTTGAGTAAGCTTTGGAGATTTTTTTCAAGTTTAGACTTTGAACATAGGCGTTTATTAATCTCTGCATGAAGCCACTGGAGGTTCATCGATCCCTCACTCGATCGTGTCCACTTGTTTGACTTCTTGCTGCGAGGGAGCAGAGATTGCGACCAGTGCTGTTTTGTATTGAATCCGGGAAAAGCGATTAGGATCGAATATGGTCGCGATCCTCGTTGATCACCATCTTACAGAAGTCCTTGAATGATACGGTACGAAGAGGACAGTGTCGTGACGACATGGATTGACTCAAAGTCTTCCAAATCGTTTTCTTCTCGTCTCATACATTGGACACTTAAAGTCTTGCGGCAATTCATTAATGCTCGCCCGAAAAACCGTCTGGAATTTGAGGGACGACGACTTAATCCAGATTTAGAACTAGAGTCAGCGATTGAAAGTCGGTGCTGTCTGTCTCAAATTTAATCGTTTTTGAATTTTTTTATTTCTTTTTCCACCCAAAACGTCTAGCACCCTTTAGAAAACAAAAACAAACGTGGGGATTGGGCACAACGTGAGGGCCAAGGACTTTTTGCGGGACCCAAAGTTGACGTGCTTCAAATCCCCGGTCCAAAAGTGTAGGCGTCGAGAGACTCCGTAGAGACCGGCGCTAGGGCCATGTACAAAACAGAGCTGGAGCCACGTCCGCCACCTTTGACTTTGATACTTTTTCGGCCGCGCAAAGTCGTCGTCTCGGCCATCGTCGTCGGCTTGTAACCTGGTCCAAACTTAAGCGAGGAAAAAGAAAGCGATTGCGTAGTAGAAGATGCAAAAGGAGGAATGCGAATGGTTGTTTGAAAGAGGAGAAAAATGCAATCAAAGTCACGGTAATTCCACGCCCGAGCCCCACAACTACGACGTAGGGCTTAGAGTAGAATGAAAGATATTTGTTGCCAACTTACACATTTTGATGGGGCGGGGTTTGTCTTTTTATGAAACGCGTTGCTTCCCAGAAAGGTACAAGTTTTAGATTGCAACTAAAGGTTGACAAAGGAAACCTATTTGAAACTCAATGAAGAATTCAAAGCGATCTTGGGAGGATGGATCGGAATTCGTGGCCCAAGAACGTGTCTCGGCTTCACGTTTGGATGAACCGTTGACACACGCTTCCGGCCTTGGTGTTTTGAGTGCGAAGGTGCTCAATCCTATGAAATCCGGATGACAATTTGGACTAGTCATAGTACACAGTGCTTGATCGAGAAATCCATCTTGTCTCCCAGCCTTTGTCATATTTGTGAAGAGAAAGTGGTCTTCGATCATGGCTGCGTTTCCTAAATCAAACTCGCCCGTGAGGATCCCATCACACACTTGACAAAGCATGAAAGTTGGATCTTACACGTCTGGCCCGTGATCTCCAACTGGATTCTAGAGTCATTTGCGTCAGCTAGTCAGGATGCTTCCTCCATAACAACTAGGAGCTTATCACTTAGAAAAGTACACAAGAAAGGTATACTTTGTTCAAAACAAGAAATCTTAAACCCCTTCCAACCCTAAAAATTTAAATTGTAGAATATTCTAGAGCATTCTAGGTCCAGTTAAATTAGTTCCATTAATTACCACACCGCCTGTAGAGCTCGAGAGCAATCGCTCCATCTCCGCTCTCGGCATAGCCGAGAATCAGCGAGTTTCACGACACCACGTCGTGCTTCCTCGAAGACTTCACGCGTGCTTCCCAGCTTCTCATATGTGCGCGTTTGCCACGAAGATCTCTCGCTCGTACCCGTTCTCTGCTACTTGAGAACTGATAGCTCGTTCGCGACAAGAGATTTAGAGCCTCGTCACCCTATCAGCGTACCCCGAGAATCAAAGCGCTCCAGGCGACCACCGTGAGATCCACCATCGCGTCCATCACGCTGCCACACTAAGTCACCAGAGAGTTTGAGATAGACCGTGCTTCACTGCTTGGCCGTGAAGTGCTCGTCCTCTATCCATGCACTCCATTTCACCATTTTGGAAGAGCCATCAATCTTCTTCCCCTGCTCGATCTCTGCTAAGCTAGTGCAGCCCTTGATCCGGGCGAGCAAAGTCACGCGATTTGGCACGACCATCCGCTCGAGGAGGTCGAGCGCCAGCTCGCTTTCCAATCTGCGAGAATCATGGCATTCCACGACACAACAGTGCGCTGCGGGATCCCATCGAAGATGCGGCGAGCTTTGGCAGCGGCGAGAATACATTGCCACGAGCACATCGCGGTGGTGTGGCAATCCTTGAGAGCGGCAAGAGCGATGGGAATCTTACCGTGGCGTTCGAAGACGGTGGCATGGTTCTTCGAGGCGAATGCGATGGAACCATAGCTTCCTAGAACCCTAGATTCCTTCGAATCTTATGTTGCTTATTTCGCCCTAAACCCATGGCAGCGGGAGGAGGAAATGGGAAGGCGCAGGGCGGGCATTCCTCGCGTCTCCCTTCGCAGGAGATGCTCGATGATCTTTGCAGGTGAGGTGTTCTGTGCTGTGATGATCCTCTTGCCGTGATGCTATTTATTTCTTCCCACAGCCGGTTCGTGCTCAATGCGCCCGAGGAGGAACTGGAATCTTTCGAGCGGATCCTCTTCTTACTGGAGCAAGCTCACTGGTTCTACGAGGACAACACCATGGAGCAGAATGCTTCCTTGAAATCGCTAACATTGCGAGAGTTCACTGCTCTCAGTAAGATTTCTCCCTTCTTTTTCTCTCCTTGGCTCACATTTTCTTCCTAGTGTTCCAAAAATGTGTCGCGCTTCGTCCATACATCGCACACTTCGATGATATCTACAAGAACTTTACAAGCTACAAGACGAGTGTGCCTGTTACTGGTGCGATCATCTTGGACGAGTCTTATGAAAGAGTAAGCTCTAAGAGTCTTTTTTGCTTTCCTGTTTCTCTCCCTCTCACTATTTCTCGTCAGTGTCTCATGGTCAAGGGATGGAAACCGGGAGCTAGCTGGACTTTTCCCAGAGGCAAGAAGAACAAGGACGAGGAGGATCACAACTGTGCTATCAGAGAGGTTTGCGAACTACTTGACGTTTGCTCACTAACTTGTTCTTTTATCAAGGTCTGGGAGGAAACTGGATTCGACGTCTCAGAGCTCATCAGAACTGACGATCACCTGGAAGTTGTCATCGGGCAGCAACGGATGAGACTCTTCATCGTCGGTGGCGTTCCAGAAGAAACGCTCTTCATTCCTCAGACAAAGAAAGAGATTAGTGTAAGTGCTCTCGCCCAGTTTTGAGCGGCGAGAACTTGATGAATTGCTTTATTACAGGAGATAGCTTGGCATCGGATAGAGGACTTACCCAAGCACAGTAATGAATCGTCACACAACAGGGGACCAACGGGGCTCAAGTACTATATGGTGTGGCCATTTCTCAGGTAAGCTTGGACGTGGAGAACTTTCTCTTAAGTTTCATCGTGCTTACTTGCAGGCCCCTTCAGGCATGGATTGTCAAGAACAGGCCATTGATAACACTGAAGAGCGACAATGGAAGCAAAGGTAATTAATTATCTTCACTTCTCCTTCCAGAAACGGTTCTTGCAGGAGTGACAGTGTGGAAAGCAAATACGAGCGGGCACACAACATTCTCGACACCCATTATGGTGAGCCACAGCGTCACGGTTGTGGCAGTGAAGGAGACAACGAGCACCAGCTTCGTAGATCTCCCAGGCAAGAGCTTCCGGAACTTTCGATTCGACGTGCCGCAGATTGTGTCTCATATAGTCTAGACACAGCTTCTCTAAACACACACAACTTCTCTAACCGTATAACTCTGTGAATTATCAAACGTTACACTAAGCAAGTTCCTAATAAGATTTATAAGCTTCGGCGCTGCGTTCTTTCTCTTCCTCAGCCTCCAGTTCACATATGATTTACCATCTCCAAGAACACACAAACTTCCAGATCAAGCCCTCGTAGAGATTCTTTCATTGTATGTAATGTAAAGGAACTTGCGTATGGCCAATGTAATCGAATCCGATGAGTAGATCGCAACGATGAGAAGTTGCTGATGTCAGTGGTCTCAGCTTTTGGTCCAAAATATCTTGCGTTGTGAGATTGTTGCATTGTATAGAACCGAAAGCTTCTTAACAAAACAGGAATCTACAGCACAATGAGACTCAGCAATTTTGCATAAGAACAAACTTGTTTAGCATTTACCTGTAATGTTGGTCTCAAAAGTTAGAGCCCGTATTTTAATCAAGTAGTTTGAGCTGTTGCTGGACGTTCCAGAGCGTCTTGGCGGAGCCGCGGAGCTTGGCCGCCTCCTCCTCGGACAGCGGCGCGTTGACCACGCTAACAACCCCATTCCGGCCGAGCTGGACTGGCAGGCTCAAGAACACCTCCTCCTCGATCCCGTAAAAACCCTTGGCCATGACCGACACCGGGCAGATCCTCCTCTGGTCCCGCAGGATGTTTCTTACGATGCTGGCAGTCGAGTAGCCGATCGCCCACGAAGTGTAGCCCTTGAGCCGGATCACCTCGTACGCGCTCTCCACCACGCCGCGGTGTAGCTCTTCCAGCTCCGCAGAGGAGCTCGGGCCCCATTCCTCGCGGAGGATCCTCCCCGCGACGCTCACCGTGGACCACACCGGCACCGAGGAGTCCCCGTGCTCGCCCAGGACGTAGGCCTGGACGTCGCGGGCGTTGGCGCCCATTTGCTCGGCTAGAAGGAACCTGAGCCGCGCGGTATCAAGGTTGGTGCCGCTGCCAATGACCCGTGTCGCCGGCAGCACGCTGCCCGCAAGCTGCCACGTAGCCCACGCCAGCACGTCCACGGGGTTGGACACCACGAGCAGCACGGCGCCCGGGCTGTGCCGCACAAGCTCGGGCACTATATTGCAGTACAGCGCGGCGTTCCGCGCGGTAAGGTCGAGCCGTGTCTCGCCCTCGCGCTGCCGCGCGCCGGCGGTGATGATGCACACGTCCGACCCGGCGGAGGCGGCGTAGTCGGTGGAGGCGGAGATGGTGGCGCGCTGGAGGAAGGCGGCGGCGTGCTGGAGGTCGAGCATCTCGCCGCGCAGCTTGTCCGGGTTGACGTCGATGAGCGCGAGCTCCTCCGCAAGTTCCTGGGTGAGGATGGTCTGCGCGCACGCCATCCCAACGTTGCCCACGCCCACGACGGTGACCTTGGCGCGCTGCTGCTCCGGGCTGGATTGGAGTGGGATGAAGAGGGATCCATGATCGCTACTGTTGGTCGCGGACAGGACTACGCGATTGAATCGGTGGGTGGTCGATCCTAGTCTAGAGAATGGCGATGACCTCTTGAGAGAGGAAGGAGATCGAAGGGGATTCACCTGGATTTGACCGGAGGATGGATCGATCGCCGCCGGCATTCTCATCGCAGGGCAAAAAACTTTTTTTTGGGGAGAAAAAGTGCTCAACCCACGTGGCAAGGCAAGATTAATCACATATCACATCATGTAAATCGTATTCTTAACATGGCCAATTCGGCCGAGACATGGTGTCACAGAAATCTAAAATCCACTATGCAATTGCTTGTGCTGTCAGATATTGTGGCTTGCTAAATTGCCGCAAAATTGGAAAGTGTGTAAAACATTTGCTGTGGTTTAGATGGGTTATTGTTGGTTGGTGAAGTATTCATTGCTTGATAAATAAATCGAATAGGAACTAGGAAGAGCGCTACCTAGAATTCCAAGCTCAATAAAGGTTATACATGCGTTAAGAACCCTAAATTTCACGTCTTGGAGAGAACGAGTGAAATGCTGGGATAGAGGGTGGATTTTGTTCTCGCGATGCAAGTCCAAGAACCCTAGATCGTGAAGGTCAAATCGGCGCGTTGACCAGATGTTCCTGGTTAAGGTGTCGCAAAGAGAGTTCAATACAAAAGAGTATTACATTAAATATTTAAAACTTTGACTGAAGTTTTTTGAGCAAAAAGATCGGATGACTGATGTTGACAGTGCCAGCACAAAACACAACAATTATATATAGTTTATAGGGAGTTCGACGTCAAAGCGTGTGCTTAGAACCTTCAAATTTCAAACTTGTTTTCGCTCCTTAGCCTCACGCATTGCTTTCGCGACACCTCCACTTTCCAATTAATTTCCTCAAGTCTCCCTTCCCTTCTCAACCTCCACTTATTTATTTGGTCGACACCCTGGAGTAATGGAAGGTCTCCCACTGAGGCCATATAAGCGCTTTTCCCCTTCTCTCAGCCGGCATTCTCCTGCTCGCTGCTTGGCGATCGGGTTTCTTTGGCCGCGCCACATAGATGCCATTTTTTTATTGTGGAATTAGTGATTGTACCAGTGCCACTGGAGTACCTCCACTGGCACTGGTACAATCACTAACTCCTCAATCAAAAACGGCATCCATGTGGAGGTTAATGGGAGCCGGAGGGCTCAGGTGAATCCAAGGAAAGCGGCAGAGCTGATCAGAGTGCCAAGGCTAGTATGTTGAGTCCCTTGTTGCTTATCACTGGCATCTCTTTAATCAATTGTTTTGAGAGCCAGGGATCCTCCTTGTAAAATTCTCCACCCGTAATAAAAATTTCTCTTTGCTCTTCTCCTTTTCACTAGCGCAATCGTTAACGAGAGCTTTCTTGGCCAAATGGGAGTCTGATCAAGAACTGCCGATCCTGCGCCAGGATCCAATGCGCGTGTAGCAGTCAAGAATTGCTTCATTTTCATGGCGATTAGGAATTCACCGTCTCGACTCTTCTTTTGGAATCCTTAGAGATCGCAAATTTCCCGACTAGAAATGGGCATAAGTCTCTAATTTAAGGGATACTTGCGCTCGAGGCTGCCAGTCTCCAGTAAGCAATTCCACAATCTCAATAACAACGCTTTCTCTAGATTCTATCAGATAAAAGGGAATTCCCTGATGATTGATCCATGAGCCATGCACGGGCATTTAGAATTGAACTTCTTTTGGCTTTCTTGGTGATATTCTCGAGCATGGAGATCTTTCAACTCCATGCATACCAGCAAGTCCTCTTGGTCATCTCTGACATGTTGCCGAGCTGCTTGAACGTTTTGCCACGTGTATGCCACATCATCAGTTAATCGCCACATCACCAATTAAATATTGGGCGGTTCAGATCATTTTAATATCTACGGCTTTGTATAAAGAATACACCCAGAATATCCTTATATATTCTAGGATTATCTTTCATCTAGCTTTTAACTCTAGTAATTCGTTGGTAATCAAGGTTTAATGGTAATACCCATACCTAAACTTTTCCTTTTACGATTATGATTCACTATATTGAACACAATACCAAAAAATCATAAATATGTAAATATTATTCCCACATATGAGGAACTGACCGATTCTTGGCACAGGATTGCAACTCGTTTTCTTGTTCTTACAAGAAAATGAGTGTGGCGATCCCATGCCAAGAATGGCCACACTAGTAGAGGAGTAGAGAAATTTGAATAAAAAGAATTTTTATTCAACAACACCTTAATGGTTATTGAAACTTCTGATTACGAAGTCTCAATAACAAACAAGCTGTCGTCTTGTATTGCTCCTCTCTTCCTTGTCGTTGATGCGAATGATCAAGCTGAGCTTGATTAACGAAAAGGAAGAGAGGAGCAATAGGAGGAACCATCTAAACATATGCATGGATGCTCCTACTACCTCCCCTTGCATGCACTCTTCAGTTTTGCTGCTGCCAGTGGATCTGCTCAAGCTAGTATCAGGAGATCTTCTAAACACAAGTCTGTGCCGTGGAAAAAGCCAATCTGTTAGAGATTGCTATCACAGATTGGCCTTTTCCTTGCACTAACTTTGCTGTACAGGAGCTGCAAGAGGCAACAGTGGCGAACTAGCCAAATAAGCCATGTGCGCTCTTTCTTCGCCACGAAGTGGTGTACACACATGGTTCATCTCCTAGTGTTTCCATCCTCCACTAGTGGTAAGCAATACTCGAGGCAGAAAGGGCAGGAACTATCCATCTACCTATCTACCTCTATGCTGTTTTTAATCATGCGGCGCTCAACTTTGTCACTTGAATGCATGGATGCAAGAATGCAACTTTTTGTGAGCGTATCTGAGGACTGAGAACGTCTGCACCGTCGTGCAGCGCCGTCGCAACTCCACCACTCACCACCTGTTTAACACTGGTGAAGCAGTAAGAGGGCACCCACGCAATGCTGAAAGGGGAGAGAAGCCACGGGCGCTACCAAGATTTCCATGAGAGAATGGAAGAGGATAGTATACGGGACGCCAAGAGGTGAGGTGGGAATTGAGAACGACTGCAGGGCCCTCTTGACCCTCACCACGCTCTTGACCTCACAAAAGGGATACGGGCACGGACTTACATGCTCTGAGGAGGGAGGGCTGGCTCCAGGGTGTCAACGCATAATCGAGTGAGGGAAGGGAGAAATGTGGAGGTGGCACCTGAAGTTTTAGGGCTCTGAACGGCAGAAAATCAGATAACGGTCGATTGCAAGCAAGAGGCTGAAAATATGGAACGAGGGCTGTGCGTGGCTTTTGATCGTAACAAGGTCCTTGAGGAGGTTATGCCGCCAGCCTTGGTAAGCTTTGATCATGGCTCAATCTTCCAGCCCTCAAGTAATTCACAGAGCTTCGAAAATGCTCGTCTCCCTAGTGGCCTCCAGCGGGAGAGTAACGTGTTGCAACTCCTTGACCTTCTTGGTGATGATCTCGAGCATGGAGATGGCTCCCTGACGGTGAGCAGCTTGCCACTGGACGAGCCCGTGCATACATGCAAGTGCATCCCCAACAGAGACGACGACGTAAAAAAGATATCTAAAAGGTACCTGGGCGAAGCTCCTCGCAAATCCGCTTCTCTGCCTTGGACTGTGTGCCGCCTGATCCGCTGGTCTTCCAGGATGTCGGCGGAGGCGAACTTTCTTCTCTTCCAGAATAAATTCCTGCATGTCTCTGCAACGTTGCAGGACAAGATCTATCCATCTATATGCTGTTTTTAGTCTCGCTGTGCCCATTGTATGCAATGCAATGCAATTGAATTCTTGCCTGCTGCTCAGGGATGCGGTTTGTACCTTCTGAGCTTCTTCTCCAGGTTTCTTTCTCCACCACTTTCGCCTTGAGCTCTTTCTCACGAGTTCTGACATGTTAATGACTAGAGCTTCCTTCTACAACGTCAAGTCTGTTCTTTGCCATGCTCTCCCTGCTCACAAACTCACTTGATCGCTCTGTGCACTAGTAGCTGTCCTTGCACAGAGAGAGGCTCCTCTTCCTGCTCTGCAATCTTTCGTTTTCTAGCTTCTCTGCTGCCACCTTTGCTTCCTGTCAAGCGAATTCTTGTCCGTTGTAAGCTTTCGTCCCAGCACCGTCGACCATGCCAGAGCATCCGGTGAAAAAGAACCAGCAGTTCCACCTCCGTCACATCTTTCTCGCCAGGCTGCGGTAGTGCTCTCATCCATGCAAACCGCTTGCAGCTCCGCTGGTCGGCATACACGCCGACAATGTTGTTCCACGACGCCACATTGTGCTGTGGAGTGTTGTTAAAGAGAATGTTAGCATCCTCGAGTCGCAACTTGTGTGCAAGGCAGCCATCCACCAGAGACTGTTGCAGTAAGACATCTTCCCAAAGGTTGAAACAGATTCCTCAGGATGCCCGTTTACTGCATAAGCTGCAAGAGCAGCATTTCACGAGTTTTTGTGCCTTTCCGGCACAAATAAAACAGTGTCTTCCCCTCTTCCATCTAAAGAGACTTTGTATATTCTTCTGTGATGTTTCCCATAAACGTACACTTTTCTCCATTCGCGGCATTCGCTAAAACTATGGCATTCATCTTCGCAACATCATCTGGCAGCCGCTCAAACACCCGCTTCACGTCCCCCAGTACCGCATAGCTCCAATAAACGCCGCCAACCAGGCTGCTCCGGCATCCGAGGAGCCGTGAGACGCCTTTTCGACCAAGCGCCCTAGAATGGTATTCCAGAAGTAGCATGCGAGCTTTAACACACTCTTATTTTATAAATTGTCAATAGTTTATACAAGGAATATATGGAGTTCGTGTTCAAAGAAGAATGGTTTGTCCTTCAAGATGAGCCGAATATCCAGCCCCGTCTTCCTCCAGAAAAGAACTGCCCGTTTTGGCAAAACGGGCAGCATCGGGTTTGCACGACCCGCTTCTCTGGAGCATCGAAAATGTGTGTGAGATCGAAAGGGTTGAGGATGTTTGTAGCGGGAGGCCCAGCCTCGAAACCAAGGCATTGATGCATTGATCTTGATGATCCTCGTGCTGCTGTTTCTGAGCCTGGAATTGAGACATTTGAATCGTACCACTGCCTCAGCTATCAAATTCTCGTCACAATCCCACCATTGACGAAATTGGAGAATTTCTCCTGCTGCTTCTGCTACTGTTGCTGTTTGTGAATGCCCAAGAAGCCACTTCAGTGGATCTGGCAGTAGCGGGAGCTTCGAGTTCACTGCGGGTTGTTGTGCCTAATGAAGTCGTGTTTTTAGCCTGCTGGGATTTAGAATTTAGTTTGTGTCCCAAGCACCATCAACTTCTTTCTGATGGTGGAGTTCCAGCAGTTCTTGATCTGGTTGTCCGTGCGACCGGGGAGCTTTGCAGACCATGTGCCAGTTATGCACAGGACAAAATTTCAGAAACAGTAGAAACATATTCATGACCCACCACAATTGCATGCATTCCCACAATGAACTCCTTCAGAAATCACTGTGGTTGAGCCCCGGCCTCAGATAGTTGCAGCCTGCGGCTCTTCCCGCCTGTAACTAGCTCAGTGATCATCACAGACAATTGCCTACGAAAGCTTCTCATGACTGGTGTGTATATATGTACTAGCATGCTTTCGAACTTAACTCCATCGGCTGTGATCGTGCTTGAGCACGCACTCGATCAATAACTCGTCTTCAAATGGCGACCACAGCCCACGCCGTAGCATCCGAGGCTTCCTTGCTCCAGGATTTGTCCTATTACTGCAGAACATACTACCATTCTCCAGTGAGATCCAAACTGGAAACTTTACGTTCCTGGAGCTGTGCACTTGTTTGTGCCCAAGTACGAAAACATTCTTCTTCGAGTGATTGTCGACATTGTCACCGTGCATCTACAGTTTCCTTCGAAAACCTTCGAAGTTGGCTGGGATTATCATTTCTTAAAAAAGATTCCGAGTTTCCTGCATGGTCTCAGGCCTTACCAAATCCTTGAAGCTTTTCTTTCTTTTATAGATCAACTTGATGCAAGATGCCAAGGCTGTCGTATAATCAAGTCTGATACGCGTGAAACGCACCCGTAGACTACTCGACCAAAAATATTTCAGTACACATGCTTATAATTCATAAACGATTCAAATATCATTACGGAGGGAGTTTCTTCCTTTGCTCTGGCGCCAGTAGAATTAAAAGACAAATCAGCTCATCGATAGATCACATCACATTGACATCAATGAATTCCCTCGAGTAATTTATATATATACAAAGGAAGCTATCTAGAATGCCCGTCTCCCTCCTGTAAAAAACCACAGCTGTGTGTACTACAGCATTGATGCCTATGGATCATCAAGGCCTCCAATGGACAGTAACGTGTTGCAACTCCTTGGCTTTCTTGGTGATGATCTCGAGCATGGAGATGGCTCCCTGCGCCACGAGGACAGTGAGCGGCTTGCCACTGGACGAGCATGCCCGTGCATACCTGCAAGTGCCTCTCGGTCATCTCCAACATGTTGCGCTTCGTCGAAATGCCCGAGTCGAGCTGCTTGATCGTTGACTCGATGTTTTCCTTCTGGATGCGAACCTCTCCCAAGTCTGCCATGACAAATCCTTTAGAGAAGAAAACGTAAAAGAGAGCATCTACCTGAGCGAAGCTGCTTGTACTCCTCGCAAATCCGGACTAAGTCTGCTTCTACCATCTCTGAGTTTCCCCCTTTTCCTTGGACAGTGTACCGCCTGATCCGCTTGAGCTGGTCTTCCAGGTTGATAAACTTCGCTTGGAGGCGGAGGATGGCGGCAGTGGCAAACTTTATTTCCTCTTCCTTGGATCCCTGCTGAGTGTGGCATAATTGCTTAGAACGATCTTCCAGAATAAATTCCTGCATGTCTCTGCAACGTTGCAGGACAAGTGAAGAGCGTGGGGTCTTTCTAATGCATGAAGGAGAGATGCGGTTTGTACCTTCTTCCTTCCACTTGTTTGAGTTTCTTCTCCAGTGCGTCGATATTCGAGGACTTCACTCTCACGTCGCTCTCCAGCCTGCTTTTCTCTAACACTTTCTCCTTGAGCTCTTTCGCAAGGTTGTCTTTCTCAGCCATGACGGCTGTGAGTTGCTTGGACAAGTTCTCCTTCTGGGAAGAAATGCTAGAGACTTCTTTCGTTAGAGCTTCCTTCTGCGACGTCAAGTCTGTGATTTCCTTAGCCATACTCTCCCTGCTTTTCACAAACCCGCCGATTTGATCGCCCAAAGCATCTATCTGTGTTCGAGTAGCTTTGAGATCTTCCTCTAATCTGTCTTTGCACAAAGAGAGGCTCCTCTTCTCCCTCTGCAATCCTTCGTTTTCTACGCAGAGAAGCTGCTTCTCTGCTGCCACCCTTGCTAAGTTCCTGTCAAGCGAATCCTTGTCCGACGTTATCCTCCCTATACTTCCCTCTAAACTCTCTGCATGTACAGTCAGCCTTCTACAGTTTGTCGCAAGAGCTTCTTTCTCCGAGTGCGCGCTTTTCATGTCCTCTTCAAGACGTTCCTTCTCAAACGCCACCTTCTTCAGATTTTTGGCCAAGCTGTCCTTCTCGGATGTAATGCTCGATATGCTTTCCTCAAGACGGTCCTTGTGCAAAGTTAGCCTCCGGATGTTATCTTCCTTTTCGAACTGCGAGGTCTTATACTCTACATGAAGACGCTCCTTCTCGGCAGCAACCTGGCTCAAATTCTTGACCAACGCTTCTCTCTCGGAGGCGATGTTCGTCTTCTCCTCCACAACTTTGTTGAGATTCCTCGCCAGACTTTCTTTCTCAGCCACAAAGCTGCTGAGTTCTTTCTGAAGCCTTTCTTTGTCCACTGTGAGCCTCCTCACCGTCGCATTGACGTTTTCCTCCCGGTTGATAAACTCCGAGAGCTCTCGGAAAATCCGGTCTTTATCGCTTCGAGCTTGCCACAGCTCCCTCGTCAGGCTCTCTTTCTCTGCAACCGTCTGTGAGCCAACTATCCCTTTCTCAAATCAGCAAGCAATAACACAAAGGTGTGTGAAGCTGTCGACGAGAAGTACCTGGTTGTGTGCTGCTTGGAACGCATCCAAGCTACTCTCCATCTTGGCGATGATTCCCAACACGTAGTGGAGCTCCTCCACGGCCTTGTTCCTCGATTTCATGATCTCCTCGATCTTGGAATGGAGGTTGACGTAGTACTCGTACATCTTCTCCACAAGCGCGCACGTCTTCTGCTCCATGAAGCTGCTATAATCGCTGCAAAACACCGTGTTCTTCTCCATCTCCTGGAGCGCCGAATTTCTCTCGTCCTGGAGCTGCCGGATTTCCACCTCCAGCGCGTCTGGCGAGCTCACCTCGACGCACTCGTCGCACTCCGTGATCTGGACGGGGATGAACACCGGATCCATCTGCATTTCCAGCACCATATCGCGAAGCTTGGCCACCTCCTTTCGGATCGACAGATGCTTCTCCTCAAGAACCAAGCTCCTCTTTTGCGCCAGGAAGTACAGCGCCTCGAGATCCTTTAGTGCATCGGATTCTTGCAGCACTGGCCTGACCTCTATGAATGCCATGAGAACTCGCCGCTGCTCCTGCGATACCGATCGATCTATAGCTCACTCACTTGAAGATGATCGCCATCGCCCTGCTGCCCTGGGAGAACTCCCGCCCTAGGGTTTTCGAAAATTTACACACGTCCTTTCATCCACACCGCTTCCACAGCAGCACACACGTGGTGGCCAGCCAGTGGCCCAAGCACCGCGGTTTCGGGGTCAATGGCCCAGTCAATTTTCAACGCTCCATTCAAACTTGGCAAAATGCCACTCGAACGGCTGATACTTAAAAGTACCTCGAGTTAAGGGCTTTGTCTGCCGCCAAAGTAACCAATGTAGCTCCATAAGGCCTCGCATGAGCGTAGAAGCACTCGGCCATCGCCTGGAAGGATATCTAGCGTGAATTTCTTGCGAGAAGATGAAATCATAGAAAGGGGAACTTACAGTTCCATTCTCTGATGTCAAGTCTGAGGATCCTCGCGAGAAGAATGAATGAACTCCTTCCTTGGGCTGTGGAAAACCAAGAACAAGTAAAGTGATTGGTTGATCGAGACAGAGCAGCTTACTTTGTCTCTGGGATCTTTCTGCGGTGGCGATAGCATCGCTCCGGCTCTCATCGTCATGCTGTTGGCGAAGCCATACGTGGTCCCTTCTCTCGAAGTTCGTGACTTGTCCAGGATGATCCTATCCATCTGTGAAGAACTTTTGCTCGTTAAGCTATGGAAAAGAATGCTTTTGTAGTTACCTGAGGAGGCTTTGGTCTTGGCGGAGGTGGAGGAATGGGCCGTTTCTTTGCTCCAGCAAAATATGGCATCTTCGGGCGTTCCTTGGGCTCGGGAGCCGTTTGCAAGCGATCGTAGTAGGCTCCGAGCACAGTCCTGATTTACCAAAACGTTCTTTTAAGGAAGAAGAGGGAAGAATTTACCGTGGGTCGTCTTGCAGCTTAAGTTCGTGACGAACGCGTTCTAGCCTGTGGAATGAACTCTCGGGTATCCTGGAAAAACAGAAAGCCTTTGTCGCAACAGAAACTTGTGTTAAACGGACCTCTCTTCTAGATGAGAGTCGCAGTCGGTATCATCACACGTTGATCTTTGGCCACACTTTGGACTCGCTGTCCTCGGTTTCTTTGAAAACAAGTCGATAGGCCTGATAATCCTCGGTGGTTTCTGCAAGGATAGTCCACCATTATCAACCAAAACAAAAGAGAAGAAGAAGAAGAAATCCACCTGTACGAACCAAGACCGACAGAAACGTCACTCTAACTCAAGATTCCCAGAAGAAAAAAGAGAAAAATAAATAAAGAAAACCATCTCTGCGGTTGTCGAAGCTCTAGCTAGAAACGACGTTGTTGAACTTCTTTGTCCATTTATTTTCGAGCCGCTAGGAAGCAACATTCTTTGGAAGAGCCATCTACTGCTGCTGCTTTTGGTCCTCGGGAGGCAGATCCTCCTTCCTACACCCGCAAGAGCTGTGACGATTTAAGTACTGTATTTGCTCCACCGGACTTAGCAACTGGAGCTGCCCCGGTTTCTTTCCCGCTGTCTCTGCAATCACGCTAGCTTTCATCGGGAGCTTCTTCGACTTGGCTCGAGTCGGCCTAGTTTTGGCAGCGCTCCGAGCCTCAGCTCTCTCAGCTAGCAGTATAGCATCGGACAGAGAACCCGGCCTCAAGGCAGTCACCTCATTTCTGATCTTAAACTTGAGCCCAGCAGTGAACCTGCGAAGCTGCTCCTCGTTGCTCAGCGACTGCACCCCCATCATCTCCATCCGTAGCTTCCAAAACCTTTCACTGTAATCACCAATAGTTTCCTTTTCACCTTGCTCAAATCCCATCCATGCTTGCATTACCTTCTCTCTGGAATGATGAAATCCCGGCAAGCAGACCTGGTCCTTGAAAGCCCACGTCTTTCGCGGCGACTTCTGCTTATCAAAAACCGTGCTTGCGACGGCGGTCGACGCATTGTTGCCATAACTTCCACCACCACCACCTTCGTCAAAAGTCGCCAGCCAAGAGAGAACCTTGTCGGCCTCCGACGACTTGAGGAGCCTCTCGTTGATCCGTGGAGTCTCCTCCCTACTGCCGCTAATGCCCACTTCTCTCCTCCTCGGTGTCTGAGAAGACTTCGCCCTCAAACGCTCGAGTTGTACCTCCAGATCCTGGCACTTCCCCCGCTCCTCCACAAACAACTGTTTGAGACTGTCAAGCTGCTCCTTAATCTGCCCAAGCTTCTTCATTTGCATGCTGTCCGTCTGCTCACACCATGCCTTACCCCCTCATGAAAAACCAAAGCTCTTTCGCAAAACAGGCACGAAAAAAACTAAAGGACATGACACGAAGAGACATGACCCAAGCAAAACCACCCGAAACATTCTTCCGCGGTAAAGGAGAAAGTTTACCTTGTCACGGTACCACGTATGCTCCTGCTCGGGCTCCGTGTCAAGGCGTCGCTGGATCAAACTCATGTCTTGCATCGTCGAGTGGTATGGTGCGTACTGTGGACAACTCGGCTTGTACTTAAGCGGCGGCTTGGATGGTTTCTTCTTCTCTCCGGGGAGAGGATACTTCTCATCGCAGAAATCATACCTGTGTCAAACTCCGATCAATCAGACCAACTTTGGAGCTGGGAGCGAGAGAGACTTACTTGTATTTCGGGAGGCCCATCGGGAACTGGAACTTCTTGTTCATCTCGATGTTGTTTAGCACCTTCATGTACTGACCATAGTCTCGAGTGCGTGGAGGATAGTCCGAAGGCTCCGGAGGGGCCATCTAGAAAAACGAAAAGGACTCTAGAACGAACGATACGCGCAAGAACTTACCGCCCTCATGTAGGAGGTCTCGAATCGCCCCAGGCATTTCTTCTTGGTGTCTCCCATCTTTCGTTTCTCCTTCTCTTGTCCAAACTCCAAACCGGGAAGAACGATCACAGGCCAGCTAGAGGCGAGCTTATCAGGAGAAGTGGAGAGAGCGACGAGGAAAGGGACAAACTTACACGGAGGAGTATCAACCATTGCAATTGCAATGCATTCCCCGGAAACGCATGAGGCGCCAGCACGGAAATTCCATGCCCGCGCCGCCGCACAGCTCTAGCGCTTCCCAAATGCGGCACCGGCTTCCCTCGTCGCGCTCGCGACGCGCAAGGCCGGTTGCCCATTGGAGAGACACGACGGCTCAGCTGAAGAAACCCTAAAAATCCGGTACGGACACTCTGCCACGTGGCACGCGTACGCGCAAGGAATATACCCGTTCTTAAAACTAAACCAGCCGCTAACTTTTCTCGTTGCCGTTTCGCTGTATTTTATTGCCCTAGAAAGCTAGAAAAGCCCCCAAGCGGCGCTGTTAAGGCGTGTGATTCGGGCTAGGGTTCTTGGAATGCGGGGCGCGTCATCGCAGCCGGCATAGCTTCGTGCGCAAGGTGAGCGGCTGCGACGGCAGATTGGGGGATCCGAGGGGAATTTCTAGGGTTCTTCGCGGGGGGCGCATGAGCAGGGATTTGTTATCCGTGGAGCTTGCAGGATTGAAGAGTGTTATAGGACGTTTGGATTAGCGCCATCACGAAGAAAAGTGGGTCGCACCAGTTGCCATGTCTGCGGCTGTTTGTCAGAAGCGGCATTTTGACGAGCTACACGGGTCTCCTCCAATCTCGACTCCCCTCTCCAAGAGACGCTGCGGTGGGAATTCGAATTCTCCAGTTCGTTTTCCCTCGGCGGCTCCGGTTTTTGGCCGGAGCAGCTCTCCTGGTACCACTGGGCCGAGCTCTCCTTCCTCCTCGTCACACGACATCTTTCTCCAGCTCAGAGCTTTGTATCCTGACATGGATGGACAGGTAAAAACGCGTTCTTTTCTTCGAAGAGAAAAGAAGCTTTCTTTTCCTGAAGTTGACGTTGTTTGATTTATTTTTTCTCTTTTTTCGCCAGCTTGTCGAGAAGGTCATTGAGAACTGTGGAAACAATCTGGACGATGCCATCAAATGCCTCAACGATTTGCGGCTCTCCAACGAGAGGCCAGCGGTGAGCAGTGCTTCGCAGCACGCGCCAGCAGCGTCGGCCCACCAGCAGCAGGAACAGCCAGCGAGCAGCGAAGGATTGGAATGGGTGGAGCTCTTCGTGCGGGAGATGCTCAGTGCCACAGACCTCACAGACGCTCGCGTGCGCGCAACCAGAGCACTGGAGTCTTTCGAGAAGGCCGTCACGACTCGAAATGCCGCTGCAGTGGAAGCCATCCAAAAGGTGTGGATTTTTCTCTTTCACTGGCTGCTCGCTAAGCCACTGCTGCCTGTTTCCATTTGTTTCTAGGAGAATGAAACGCTCAAGGGGCAGCTGCAAGTGATGGTGAAAGACAATGGAATCCTCAAGCGGGCAGTGGCCATCCAACACGAGCGCTACTCGGCGGAGATCGACGAGAAGGGGAAGGAGGTGAAGCATTTGAAGCAACTCGTGACACAGTACCAGGAACAAATGAGGACTCTAGAGGTAAGCCAAACCATCGCTCATTGCTTTCGTGGCATGAATAATCCTTTTGTGTCATGTCCACAGCTTAACAATTACGCGCTCACCGTCCACCTGAGAAGAGCCCAAGACAACAGCTCCATCCCGAATCGCTACAACCCGGACGTGTTCTAAGCAAGCGCAAGCTCGTTCAGCGGAGATATTGTCACTTCTTATTTTCGTCAGTGCATAGTGAGAATAAGAAAATCTAAAGAGGATATTTCGTGCACGTTTTTTTAGCTTGATTATTTAATTGTCTAAAGGATAAAGAAGCAATACCTTTTATACTTAAATTAAATGTACACTTTCCAGATTAAATTTAGGTAATAAATTTTAATCTGGATGTTAAAAGTATTCAAACTGAACCATTAAATTTAAATAGAAATTTGCGTAGCAAATGCTAGGCAATTGGCAAAACTTGTGCTGGCTTGGTGGAAGTTTAATGAAATTCTCAAGCAAATCCCACTTCTGAAGCGTAAGAACTTACCTTATCTTGTATAAATAGATGCTCCTTATTTAATGGCCTTAAGTTATAATACAATCAAATTCAAGGCCAAATTACCAGCAAAGCATTGGTGCTCAGCTACAACTCTCCCTCCACCAGGTTTCCCTGGGGTCCGGATCGAGTGCTGTGTAGGGATCCCTGGAGTCTCAGTGTAGGTGACGGGAGTGGAATTGCGAGCGTTGACTACTGGAGCGCGTCCAACAGATCCATCGCCTAAGTAAAATTGAACCGCTGCGTCAGATTATGTGAGTCAGAGTTGTGAAGAACACGCACTGTAAGAGTTTTACTAACTGATCTCTCCATCTTTTGTAGCAGTCTAGACTACCACTCACTCGTTCACATCGAGAGTGCACTGCTTCCCAATACTGAACGGCTAATGCACTCAGATTTCAGAAAATCTGACAGTCTTACCCCCTAGAGCACCGCTAGGAGAGAACGACTCTATAAAGCTGAAGCGCCAAAAACACCACAGAAAAACGAACACACACACAAGCGTTGCCTCTCGGTGACTCAGCCGTAATGGTGTCACAGCCCACAATCAGCCGCGTAACCCTCAAACAGTTGACACAACACTTGGTGATGAACTCTTCTCCGGGACTCGGACGCGCCTGGAAAGCAGGATGAGGACGGGATCATCTCACGAGCATCATCCAATTCGTCTGATGACAGAGAGCAGACAAGACATTTGGAGCACAAGCAAGGTTCATCAGTACCTGGATTGCGGACGGACAGGAAGCAACCGTTTGTTGGATAGTGGTGGTGGCATTGGCGCGTTGACAAGAGAGTGGCAATAATCCGCCATAGAACCAGAATTCTCCAACGGCTCAACTTTGCGCCACGATCAAAGAATAGACAGTCTTTTAAGCTTGAAGGATACCTTTGTACTCATCTTTTATTCTTGGACATCTCATCATTCACAATAGCCAGCAGTTCTTAACTCTGTAGTGATTAAGGGAAAGCCTCACCTATTACCATTTGAAATTTAAAACACTCCCATGCTACCTCTAGAGATTCTTGGTTCTGGGAAGGTCAAGAGCTGAGCTTGGTAAATCATGATTTTTGCAGTGTCCAGCTTATTTGCTCATAAACCAACCAAATTTTCTTTCCTACTTCTAAACCAAAATTTAGTGAACTATTAACTGTATGTGCACAATATTATACATTTCATTATAAGATGTAAAGGATGGGAATACTTTCATTCAAATTCTTGATTGTGGAGCTAGTGAGAAATTTTATTAAAAATATTCAACAAACTATGTTTTTCTTTTTTCTTTTTCTTTTTTATTTATTGATCCTAGGAAAGCTAAAAATAATATTAAAGATATATCAAGAAATTCACTAGTTAACTTCTTTTGTTTTCCCTATTCTTTAAAAGTCATATCCATATCCTAAAGTTTAATTAAGTGCATAATCTACAAAATTAAGTATATAACATCATACAATTTTTTTTGCAAAATGACTTTATAACGTAGATAAGTACAATATGAAAAACTTGTATTACTAAGTACAAAAGAAAAAGAAGAAAATCTAATAAAAATCAAATAAAATATTGAAAAAAATTATAATATTTTATCATTTTTTATACTATGATATTAATGGTAAAGTGTGTGCCAAATTTATTGAGTAATTCAGATATTTTCATTGTCTTTCAGTTCTTATTATGGATAAATTCTTTTTTTTACTTAATAACAAGAAATGTTTTCCAAACGTACCTCTTCTGAAACATTTAAATATTAATTTTTTAAGATATGAAAAAATAACATTAATTAAATATATACTATTTATATCTCATTAGTTTCATTACAAATATATTTTTATTTTATTACCCCTCACTTTGTAAAGAGTGTGCATAGTACACATAGATATTAAGCATAGACTATAGGATTTAAATTTAAAGCAATAGAAAATAAGGAGTTAATTACTAAATATCTCATTAGTTTTATCAAATTTATCTTTTCTACGATAAAAACTAAAAAATAGATATAAAACAAACTCTAGCATGATTGATAGATCGATTGTCTTTAACGACCACAACAGCCAAGACCAAATAAAAAACTTCCAAGTTATCAATCTCAAGGAGCTCGATAAACACTCCACACTTGGAAAATAAGCTCCTTTCTTTCTTTGAAAATTTATATATTTGTATTAATTTTAAGTGAGATTAATTATAAGTAATTCTATAGAAATAATATCAAACCACAATGTAAAGTGAGAGAAAAATATAAACATTAATATTTTATTGCACAATATGGACTTAAGTTTTAGAGAAAAGAAGATATATTTAGTTATAAATATTTTAAAAATGGATTTATTAACTATATAATTTTATAATAGTTAACTTGTTCTTTTATTAAAAATCCTTAGTAAAACAATACACTAATTTTATCATTAAAAGTTATTTATTATTTGAAGTTCATTTAGACTATTATAGTATTAGTTAGTTATTTGTATTTATTTAATTTTCTTATATTCTTTTCTAAATATTTATTAGTAAATTATTTTATTTTTATTTTAAAATAATAAATATTAATTTTGATATTTTTATTTACTCCACAGTCATTTTATAAATAAATTTATTATAAAATAATTTTATTTTTAAAAAATAATTAAAAAATATACTCCTGCCTAAAAGTTGCTCCTAACAAGATTAACAGATGCCTTTATAAATTATACTGTATTAAATGATATCATATATAACATTATTTCTTTTACTATATTTATTTTAATTAAAATAAATAAAGATTAGTAATTAATCTCATTAAATTTGTGTTTTTTCCTTCAATTAATAATCATAGAAGTAATAATTTATTTTTCATAATAATATGAATAATTATATTATTTAGAATTTATATTTCAAAGTTATAGTCCAGTATTTCAAATTTAATATTTTTAAAAGTTTTTTTAAACTCAATTATCTGAAAAATATTTTGTATAAGTGAAAAGTTCATAAAACCTTTTTTGTGAATTGTTTTAGTAATATAAAGTTTTATTCATCTTATGAGATCCAAATATATAGCTACAATGTTGTATATTAATATTAATATAATGAGATTTTGATAACCATCAGATTTGTTTCAATTTTGACCATTTGCTCTTGTATATAAGCTAGGGTTTTTGAGTTTATCGAATATACATATTTCTATATTCCATTTTCATATTTCATATACTCATACTAGT